GAATAAATGTAATGCTGGTAAAGATACTATTGTTCATTTAAAACAAAACCTGATAATGGATGTAATCGAGGTTTCTAAGAAGCTGCCTGATAGCTGTTCCATTTTTATTGCAGGTGTTGCTGCCATGCCTTCCCCCCCTGTTACTATTTTACTGTGTTGACTGGGGAGGAAGATCATAAAATGAGCAGTTAGCTGCCTCACTTGGACTCATACCCTGTATCCTCCTTACCTATAACTGGTAACTTCATGGCCATTAACTTTCCACTTGTTTCATTTTTGAAACTTAATGGTATTAATTTCCTGTAGGTTTTCTTTCATTCTTCCAGAACAAGTTCTTTTGAAATGAAAATGAGTGTTGCCTTTGGTTTGTGTTCACTAACCTTAAATTGACTCAACGCTTTCCGTATTCGAGCGCTGTGAAGTGTATTGATTTTTCCTGTATGTAACAAGCAGGTCCTCCGTCCAAGTAGCCCAGCTGGCCTGCCCAGAGATAGTAGCTGTTTACGTGTTCAGAATATATTGCTTGAAACTAAATTGAGACGATTTTTTTGTTTGTTTACATTATTGCCTTGATAAAAAATGTGATTTGGAAAGAAGAGTATGTTACAATTTGCCCGTGAACGTTTTATAAGGCCACTTAAGCCATGAAAGATTATCTTTACCCTTGCCCTTGGCAATGAGAGAGAAGGCAGATGAGAATTCATGAGATGTTCACATGTGCAGCAGTAGTTGTGACTATAACTGGTCAAAACGAGATCTCTAGCTTTCAAAGGCTTTACTCTGTAAAGTGACCCAGAAATGGTGATGAGGATAGAAAGTAGATTTGTCAGAGTAAAAATTATGGTAGTAAGTTGGCAGGCAAATACGGAAAAGGGGGGAAAAAATAGGATGCAGAAGTCCTGGATCAAGTTAAGAGAGTGCAGGTAATCCAAGAGGCTGTATGCAAGTGCAAAGATTGATTTGCAGTGTTCATAGCTCTTAGCTACCCATTTCATTTGTTTTTAAAAGAGAATCCCAGCTATGGCTGGGATTTTCAAAGGAGCCTGCACTAGGCTTTCAGTGATGTTTGGAATATTAATTCCTACAGCAGTTAATTCGGTAACTGTTAGGTTGTTTTGCTGTACAATCCCCGCCTTTGCCGTGGACCCTAACTACAAAAAAAGTAATATAAGTGCCATAGGGTATTTCATATTCTTTATTTGCAGCACTTCTGCGTGATGAGAGGTAATTATTTTCTCTACTTTATGTGCTCTGAACTGAGTCACCGAAGGACCTTGGCCCAGAAGGGCTTGCGTTTCTGAAGCCAAGGCTACAGTGGAATTTAGACACTCAAGTCCAAGAGTGAAGTCCTCCAACCCCTGCCTTGTTAGTGAAGTGCCAAACATAACTGGTATGGCTGCCAGGGCATGCGCAGAAACGCTGCCAGTTTTATCTCCGTAGAAGAGCCTGATGCTTCCCTGCCTCTGCACCATTTATATCGCCTGCTTTGGACTGTGCTTTTTGAGGTTGGGGTATGCAGATCCTCTGCCTGGGAACCCAAAGGGGCCTGAACTGGCAGAAATTCAGAGCACGTCCAACACTGTGTGTGAACAGGAGTTTCCGAAGGGAGTTACTGACTTTGCATGGCAGCCTGCACTAGAACATGCACTTACTGGTTGCCTGCTGCGTTCCAGGCAAAGCCTTAATCACGTCTCTTTTGCAAACTTCCAGTGAGGTTTTCAGTAAACAGTTGATCTAATAATATATTAAAGGAAAATAAATGTCCAAAGTGAAAAAGAGTTTCCTTCAAATAATCAGATCTACTCGGTTTAACCCAGGCTTTTGTTGTAATGCCACACAATTCTATGCCCATCAGAAAGTGGCAGTCGATACCAGTTAGCAATAGCGATGGCCTGAGCAGAACAGAAGCATGAACTTGATGGCAGAGGCGGGACGTTTATTAGATCTGGAAGTTTCACCTTCAGCTCACAGATGAATCATAGTGGCCTTGTCTAAATGCTGGGGAAAAAGTTTACTGTTGTTATCCCTGGGCTGGTTTCATTAGTGGTAGCAGTAGATAGTACCGCTCTCAGAAGCTGGGAGCCAGCAGTAACAATTATGTTTTGTTCTATTTTATTCTACATTTTTATAGCTGACGCTGGCAAAAACACCAGCTTCTTGGAGCGCTGCCTGAACAAGTGCTCTCCGCTGTTATTGCCCCTAATGGAACAAAAATAGTGCTAGCAAGGAAGGGAAACTGTTGGCCAAAAAGCATAGTGCAGGAACCCTTCTACCCCACCCTCCACCTGGCAAGGAAAGATGAGGGCACGAGTACAACAGCTGCTCCACAGATAAGGGGAAAAACCTCAGCCGCCGAGACTGTCAAGTCAGCACTTTCTACAAGCAGTATGTCTGCATGAAAAAATGCGCAGAAAGAGGTGGTGCCATGCCACGCCAAAGTTCTAATGAAACTGGCAGTCTCTCTTCTTTAAACCCAGGCGCTATCACACCGGTTGAACAATGGGCCAGGCTTGGATTAGATTGCCAAATATTTCCAGTTTAGTCAACACTGATGGATTTTTCTAATTTTAAAACTCTTCCACTGCACCTAGAGGTAATGAAATCAGACAGATGCTCTGAGATAGGTTGGCACCGAGAACTGCAGGAAACTGGGAACTTGGTCAAATAGTTTTAGTATACTTATTTTCAGTTTTCTAACTCTCTGACGCTTCAACAATTAACTTGCTCCCAGTATCAATTCTCTTGGCATAATGTCTGCAAATCACATGCAATTGGGAGAGGTTAAAGGTTGAGTAATTAAACTACATGATCTAATTCCTGCAAAATAATAATAACCTCTTTAAGTGTGTTTATTTCCACTGCAGTTTAACCAAGGAAATCTCTATAAACAAGTGAAAATGTGTTACTGCTGTAACCTCAGCCAGAGAACCTGGATAACAGGAAGAGGATGGGTTTTTTTGCTCCCCATGAAAACAGGATGAACACGTAGAAGTTAGACACTTCAGTAAGTGTGTTTATAGCAAGAAGTCATGTTGCATGACAGTTTCTATGGAAACCTTTTTATAACTCAATGGCAGAACATTTTAAAGTCTCATAAATTTTTTAAGAACGCATTGGGAAAGTTTAGTTTGCATTACATCCTTTATGCTAGTTTTCCATATTTAACAAGTTACAGCGTTTTTAAGAACAAAATATTGTGGGGGTGTTTTAAATTCCAACCTCTGCTGGCAGGGATAGATCACTGACTGGTTTATCATATCAGAACAAATTGCTG